AATAAATTGGAAAATGATAATAATAAACTTAAAGCGCTGGGTCACCGACCCAGGACCATGACAGTATCAGCACGTGATGTTGTTTTATCTAGCTGCGATGGGATTTGGAAGTGTTTACAGTTTGTCTGAGGTTATCTGGTTCAGGTTAGATTTACAGTTACATTAAACATCCTTAAAAAGTTTAAATAAAAAGGTCACAAACTGCTCAGAATGGTTTCACTTTCAGTTCTGTGACAGATGCAGAGCAAAGCTCATGAAAAGATCGGTTTACAAAGTGTATATTATCAGTGACTTCTTCAGGCACACCTGTTCAATTGTTTACTAACCAAATATGTAATGAGGAAATTACATGACAGCAACTCGGTGCATGTAGACATTCAGATACAGTGCTCAGCATAAATGAGTACACTCCCTTCAAAAAGCACAAATTAAATCAGTAGCTCAATGAACAAAAGAACAATTTCCAAAATTTTCACACGGCTGAGTTTTATTGAACACTTGTTTAACTCCATAACATGAAATTAAGGTTAATAATATAACTTAGATCACAAAATCTTCAGTTTTACTAAAATTGGATGAAGCAAAAATGAATACACCCCGCAACACAAACTACTACATCTAGTATTTTGTATGACCACCGTGATTTTCAAGGACAGCATCAAGTCACGGAATGAACAAGTTGCGACATATTGCAACATTATCTTTTTCCATTCTTCAAGAATAACCTCTTGTAGAGCCTGGATGCTGGATGGAGAGTGATGCTCAATTTGCCGCTTCAGAATTCCCCACAGGTGTTCAATTGGGTTCAGATCAGGAGAAATACTTGGCCATTCAATCATCTTCACCCTGTCCTTCCTCAGAAATGCAGCAGTAGCTTTAGATGTGTGTTTTGGATCATTGTCGTGTTGGAAAAGTGGATGACGACCAAGTGCACGGAGTGATGGCAGCATCTTCTTCTTCAGAATAGAGCAGTACATTGTTGAGTTCATGATACCATCAATGAAATGCAGCTCCCCAACACCAGCAGCACTCATGCAGGCCCACATAAGGACACTGCCACCACCATGTTTCACTGTAGGCACCATGCATTTGTATTTGAAATCCTCACGTTTATGACACCATACAGTTTTGAAACCATTAGTTCCAAAAACAGTGATCTTTGTCTCATCACTCCAGAGTATAGAGTCCCAGTAGTCTTCATCTTTTTCAGCATGGGCCCTAGCAAATTCTAGGCGTGCTTTTTTGTGCATGGGCTTTAGGAGAGGCTTCCTTCATGGACGATACCTATGCATGCCATTCCTCTGCAGTGTATGCCGTATGGTGTCACGGGAAACGGTCACTCCAGTTTGGCTTTCTACTGCTTTAGCTAACTGCAGTGAACTTGCATGGTGATTTCTTCAACCCTTCCTTCTCATCAGGAGACGCTCCCATTGAGATGTTAACTTTTGTGGACGGCCTGGATGTCTAAGATGGTTGCGCTTCAATCTTTGTTACATTTTGTGATCACTTTTGCTACAGTATTTTGACTGATATGTAAAGCTTTGCTGATCTTGTAGCCCTCACCTTTTTTGTGTAAAGAAATTATTTCCTTTCTCAGATTTTGTGACATTTCTCTTCCATGTGGAGCCATTGCTGGCAGTATGAAATGGGAAGGGCTTTTCTTTGTTAAGTAATGCCCTTTTATGGTCACCTGTCTGCTGGACACCTCGTAAATGAATCATTAGACTCACCTTTGGTTGAATGCCTGGTAATTCGAATTTTGTAGTCTTAAGTGTGGCTTTTCTCCTTAGACTATAATTGGGGTGTACTCATTTTTGCAACATGGGCTTGAATGAGTCTGCACACACA